AAAGTCAACATGAAATCTAAACTGACCCTATTTACTTTCTCAATACATGTTCCTGCTCTTATTTAGCAAGATTCATCAGTGTGTGTTATTACAAAGAAAAGAAAACGTTGTCCTCTTTCATCAATAACTTGCAGTGCTTCTGAAATGAATTTCCTTTTTGGCAGATGTCACCTATGGCAGGTTGTTGGTCAGTGCTAACCAACTGGTTAATATTAACTAATAACCTAATAACCAAATACTGGTTAATATTAATTAATAACCAAATAAGCATCATTTTAGGCTGCTGTTGAAGATATACACAGTAATTTAATATAATATGATGTGAAGTTCACTGCAACAATAGCAAATTATGAAATACTTTACAAAGAGTTGTTCTCATTGGGACAGGGTTGGGACTCATTTTTGGGGGGAAAAGGCAGTAAAACACCAGCAACTTTCTGTTCATACAAATTATGATTACAGGGTCAGATTATTAATATAAAAGCACTTATTTTTGTGAAGTTCCTTGCACAATATTATGACCTCAAAACAGTCTTACCACAGTGCATTATGTTTCCATCATATAATTGGGTCCGTATGCCTTTTTTGACGTTGTAAACTTGCTCAGTAGCTCAGCTGGTACAGCATAGCACTTGAGATTAAAAACTCCTGTGAAACACAATCAAAGTGCTCAAAGACTTACTTCAGCAAATGTGTTTTATCTCATGTTTGCTTTATTTAACATTATTGGTTAGGTTTAGAGTAGAATTTAGTGTATGTATTATGTTTTTTTCAAACGCGATAGAGCATTAACCTTTTAGAGCCACTCACCGGACACTTTATTTCCAAACTGTCGCGATGCATTACAACAACCAGCATAATAAAACATTGCCAGATTCACGTTGATATGTTTTGGATAAAACTGAATGCAATTCTAGTGCCACTCACTAAACATTTCAATCTGAAAGTGTCATTAAAACATGCAAGAAGCAACATAATATAATTTTGCAGAAATGTTTTTTCCAGTGGGCCTCGGTTGCTTAAAAGTGACCAAGTAGTTCTTCACAATTGACTGCAAGCTTGTCCAGGTCTATTATGCTACAGAATGTCCGCTTTTAAGAATCCAATCAATTCCCAAGGGATTAAATAAAGACATACTATATATATATATATATATATATATATATACATTTTTTTATTTTTTTTACCTAATGAAAATCCTTTTTATTTGGAAATGTCACATTATCAAGTCAAATGGGTTGAGAATGTCGTTTTATGTTGACTTTAATGTCTATTTTGCTGCTAGTGTTTTATCTGCAACTCTTTTCTTCTCAGATGAGTCTTCCTCTTAGATGCTTTGTGCAGATTTTCCAAGAGAAGAAAGAGCCTTTTCTCCATCTCTTAGCTGTTGATCTCTCATCACCTGCCTTTTAAAATACATGTGAAGAATCAGAGACAGGAACACGCTTCTTATTGTAATGTATTCATTAAGTATCAGTTCCAAGTTCAGGCTAGTGTGATGATATAAGCCTGCCTTGCTCGCAAATGTGTCCACTCAATGGCAAAAAAGGACAATTATTTTATTGCCTCGCTACTCTCCCTGCCAAATGTTTGATCAAAAGCTGTGTCTGCATCTCTTTTAGATGCACTCCACACATTCTCTGTTAGTACGAATATCATTCTGTGTTGCTTAATAATCTTTCTGAATATTTAAATATGAAAAACCCACTCTCGTTTGGCAGGCTATGACTAAATATCGTCTTTATTCACAGCCATTTATGATGGCAGACTCTTCATCTTTCTTATCACTAAGGCTCGCTAGTACTTTATTAGCTGGTTGTTTGGCCAAGCGGTGACCTCACTGTACTGTCAGGGTCGGGTTAGCGGAGTAGAACTGCATAGTGAATATGTTATAAAGCCAGGGGTTAATGAACAGCCCAGCGTGTCTGATCCTCAGTCTGTCGAATGGAGTCATCAGTAACTCTCTATCCAAGTACCATAATTCACCCCTGCTCTTGGTCCTGTGAGGGCGCAGCTCAGCACCCCTAGAGAGCTCATTACCAGAGCTGCTCACATTAGCCCTGTAGTAACCTTCCCCAACCTGGCACAACATCAGCCCGAATAAGACTTCCAAAATGGCCTCCGGACCAGCTGACGTATAACGCGGCCCTGTGAGAATGAGAAATGAAAATAAAATACTTCTCCCATGGCTTGGGAGGAAATAGGACATTTGAGTGTCGTTACACTGGGCATAAACACACATACAGAATTTCCCTCCTGCCTTTTATCCTCCTATGGGCTTTTCACGCTTGAAATTGTAATCTGGTTATCGTAGACATACTTTAATATTGTGAATGCAAAACTCCTTTTTTTTCATTCCACCCAGACCATTCATGGATGCTTAGTTGCACAAATATGTCATACATGGTTTTGATGTCACGACCATGAGAAAATTAGCATATGGCCACCCACATTTATATATAAACAAATCGGTATTCAGTATCTTGGCCAACCCAGATGATTTAAGTTTTTTTTTTTTTTATATATATAT